AAAAACTCTACGGGGAGCCTCATCAGAGATAATCTGTCACTGCGTTGTCATAGATGCCTGCAGAGGCATTGAATCACGCACATGGCAGGCGGGCATTATTTTGATCCTTGTTCACACAAGACGCGCTTCTCTCCATAAGACACGTTTCAACGAAAAGAATTTGAACGACGGCTATTCGGCAAGCGTTGGCGATTTACTCTGTGCAGCATGAATAGCCTGCTGCCTCCCTGGCATTGTTGCAAAAACCATACATGGCTGCCTCACTGTGTCAGCTTAGAACACTCGCACATGCACACACCAAGTGACGGAGGCCAGATCTCTAGATCCACCATAATCAAGAGTTTTGATATATTCAGTCCTACATTGCTACGACCCAGTACAGGTAACAAGCGATGCAGATCCTCACCCTTCTTGTTCATATTAAGACGTACCACTGCCAATTCTCAATGTGTAAAAACCTGGCTGTTGGCGACTGTCCATTTAAGTGACTCGGAATAGGTTACGGACTGTGTTCACATAAAAATGAAGGGCCCATCTCCAGTAATGGGGATGTATAAGAACCCCTGATAAAGTAAAACACTCTGGCGGTGACCACCCTCAGCATCCGTGAAGAGGTCGGCATAGAGTAGAAATCTCTTAAATCTAGATATCTGCAGACAACATTACATCAAATGAGGAAGATTACTACAATACTCTATGTACTATGCAGTTATTACATGTACTGTAAAATGATGTTAGTGGGGTTCCTTGTGGAACCTGGGGTTCAATACAGGGAAATGTAAAGTATTAGGCCTACACATTGGCAAGGCAAATCCACACTATTAATACACTAGTTATGAAATACAGGAAAATGTAAAGTATTACACATTGGCAAGGCAAATCCACACTGCCAATATACTATGATTAGTGAAGCATGCGTTGTTACTCTTGAGAGCACTGTGTTGGAATAAGATGTTAGTGTAAATAGACCCTGAACGGAAATTTAACAAACGCGCGGCATACAAACTCAGGTCAGCAATGCTAACTAGATATTAGGATTGATCAGAACATCATGTTTTTCTAAATTCCAAGTTCCTGAGGCTAATGTTCACTGCACTTGTATGGCCACATCTTGAATATTTTAATGTAGTATGATGGTCTCCTAAATTGATCATAAAAAACTTTTAATCAAATGTGCTCTCCGCAGGTCACAAGTATAACCTGAAGAAAATGAGTTTCTCTAGTCACACGCCAGCACATCTTCTGTGTGCATGTTACAGGTTCCTGGATGACTCTCAGAAATTGTGTTATACTAGATTTACAATCATTAAATTCATTCAAAAGACAAAACATGGCTGGACAGTCTGGTATAATCACATTTACTAACAGAATTAGCTCTAGAACTATAGCCATCCGCTCTGCCATTATGTTCTAGAGCTAGTTACAGAATCTACTCCAGTCTACACTCTGAAGTCCAAGTTGTATATCAATGATAGAGTCACAGAAGAAAATTAGATTACTGGACATGCATCTAGCCTACCCTAACAGATGAACAAGATATAATATTATTAATAACGACAACTTTATTAGTGAACCAGTTCAAGTGCACGTGTGTGCGTGCATGTAACCCAATAACCCGACCAGGCTGTGTGACTAACATCAATATACACGGTATTCTAACCACAGGCACTTGAAGCATTTCAATAAAATATAATGCTAACTAAATACGAAATCTATTTACTACCAAATTCTTAATGTTTCTATACTCTCTTTCACCGTCCAAATCCTACGTCCAACCATACGCTGCCGGCGCCATTGCTTTCGCGGCGCGACTGTTGCACGCTTACACTAATATATATAGCAGGTAGGAAAGCCGGATCGCAAAATTCGCTCTACGCTCGCTGAATTTCACACTTTCACAGCACCAATACACATCCAACAGCTTCCATCTTTGTTTCTCTTTCAAAAACAGTGTTCACTTGTTATAAACATAATGTCAAAACATAATGTCTTTGTTCGTAACCGAGCTGTGTCACGCGACATCACACAAAGACTGACGAAATTCTCGCGTTCGCAAACCTTCCACAGTAATGTAAATGTTCGTCAGAATCAGGAAACACCTACCGGCACTCTTCGTGGCCTCATTCTTGCGCCGCAACGCTGCAACGTTTTCCCAACGTTCCAATGGCGAGGCTCGTACGGGAGTTGGAAAGCAGTGCGCCGCCTGCGCGCCGCCTATAGTCCATAGACTGGCACTCGCTCCCACCTCTCAGCTTAGCTTAGTCACTCGATGGGTAATCGAGGTGGGAGCGAGTCCCAGTCTATATATAGCCCTGTATTCTGACAGACATTTACATTACTGTGGAAGGTTCGCGAACGTGAGAATTTTGTCAGTCTTTGTGTGATTTCGCGTGACACAACTCGATTACGAACAGAGACATTGTTTTTATAACAAGTGGACACTGTTGTTGAAAGAGAAACAAAGATGGAAGCTGTTGAATGTGTATTGGTGCTGTGAAAGTGTGAAATCCAGCGAGCGTCGAGCGAATTTTGCGATCCGGCTTTCCTACCTGCTATATATATTACTATTATTAGTGTAAGCGTGCAACATTCGCGCCGCGAAAGCAATGGCGCCGGCAGCGTATGGTTAGACATAGAATTTGGACGGTGAAAGAGAGTATAGAAACATTAAGAATTTGGTAGTAAATAAATTTCGTATTTTGTTAGCATTATATTTTATTGAAACGCTTCAAGTGCCTGTGATTCTAACCCTAGCAATACCGTTTCTTGGAGCTAGTAACCCAACACACATAAACCACGGCGGCGCAAATCCACTTTAGGCACCTTATGTATCACGAAGTGATGCACAGATTTCTGTGTATCATCAACTGATGCACAGATTTCTGTGTATCATCAACTGATGCACAGACTTTCCGTATATCAAAGAATGATGCAAAAACCATAACCCTAAAGTATAACCTTACTCCTTAGGTATCACGAAGTATGTTAGGGTTAGGGTTAGGGTTAGGGTTGGGCTTAGGGTTCGGGTTTTTGCATCATTCCTTGACGATCTGCAGCCGGATATCCGGGCGAAGCGCTCAAACGCCGCCTCGCGGCGCACTTTTGCAATTTCGCTGCCCTCTTCCCAACGCCAGTACTCAGGTCCTTCTAGGAGTAGGTGAAAGCCGGCTTTTCGCTCTCATCAGCAGTTCTGCGCATTGCACGAGGGATCGCACTACCTAGTTAGGTAGAGACTGGCTAGAAAAGCTCCCAATTCTTTGTTCGCTACTAGGCGCGCTTTCTTTGCTGTAATAACGGAGTTTTTTGTTCACATTGTAACAATATATAGCGCTGATGCGTAGCGTTGACTGGCTGAGCTTAGAGGATCCGATATATAGGAACAATACAACATGTCTTCGCTATTCGTAATAAATCCAGTTTACAGTTAGTTTCATTGTCACTCTTATCTGCTATTGTATCTCTGCATAGTTACACTCCTCATCTTACTATAATTTGGCGAATGTTGTTTGTATGTATGTATGTTTGTAAAAGGCTCCGTCAGTTTCGATCCAAATAGCGCCAAACTTACAGAA